TGCTAATTCCTGTGCTGGCACGCAATTGGTCAAAATGGGAAACCAAATTTCGCCAATAGAATGCCTGTATTTTGAAATTGACGAATGAAACGCTATTTTGGTAAGATTTGCAGTGCCCAGGATGTTTCGTTCAAATTGGCGCCAGTGGTGCACTACTGCATAGGGGAATAAGTACGTAGGGTGGCTCTCAGGCCAAATTTGTATGTATTTTATTCGAATTGGGGAAGTCGCTGCACTTGTCGCTCCATTTACCTGTACGAGGCAGGGTACGAGGAGTCCTAAGCATACTGGTCCACCCTCACAGAGAGCGAAAAAAGGTCATCGGCACAAATACCCCCAAAGTACCACCCAACCACCCACATAAATGAGTGCCACGTAGTGCTAGAAACCACCACCAGCATCGAGACTTTGATACAAAGCCATCCTGAGTGATGGTGGCCTTGATGCCGAGTGAGGGTGCTCTCTCTCCACACCCCTAACCATACTTTACAAACAAGATCTATGTTAGTGATGGTCCACAACATCGTCTTGCGTTCCTGCCCTCAGTTTTGATTTGGCTCGCCATGCTCCGGACGTCATGGTAACCAGCCGCGGCGTCGGCACTCAAGACTCACCTCGACTGTCTGTTGCGGCCTCGGTGCCACCGCGAAGACAATCTGCAGCCATCCTTCTCCTCGGACCTCGGCGGACGCGGCCCCCAAAACAGCTCACAGCCACCACGCGACTTTTGACTTTTGTTGACTTGAACGCTGTTTGTTGCCAAGTCCCGCCCGTCGTTGTCCGTCGAGACAGCAAGCCGCCACCGAACCACCATGACCCTCTCTTCTTGCCGACGGACGCGTCTGGACGCTGCGTGCGTCTACTCGCGTCTGTTGGCGTCTGCTGTCTGTGCTACAATAGCCAAGGCAGCACGCAGCCACCTCAACAACAACAACTCGAACACCGTCTCGAACAAGAACAAGAAGCACTTCGCTTTGAACCTCAGAGCAGCGCACAGCCACCCCGATCCACCAACGACATATACTCACGGAACCCACGCTGCTCGTATCGGTTCGCTGCCACGTGCAGTCCCCCGCTTGTGGCCCAAGCGCAACATTGAGACGCGTCGTCAGCAAGAGCAGTCCACCGCCACATCACACGACGTACTTACTCCAGCATCAGCACACGAACCACGGCTGCTCGGCGCTGCGACGCGACTTGACTAGTCGCTAACTTTGAACCAATGCAATCGTTTGAATAGGCCCAGTTTTGAATGTTGTATCTAAGCTCAGGTTTCGATTTTGCAGTAGCGAGAAAGGCCAAATCGCCAAGCAAGCAACGCCTTCGCTGATTGGGTGCACGTTGAACTTGGTCTGCGGCCTGGGCGTTGGTGGCTTCACGAACCCCATGTCCATGGAAACCTGCCGTGTGAACGACCAGTTAGCTCGAGACGATGGCTGACGCGCAACCAAATGCTGTATATCCAACATGAATAGGGTTCATATCAACGAATTACGGAAAGAGACTCGTCGAGTAAGTGCAACTACTTCTTGAGCGACGCGACCGCCTTCTCGCGAAGCCGCGACTCTTCGTCCGCCGACGACATGCGGCGGCGCTTCTCCCGCTGAAACTCGTCTCTGGACGGCGATCTATCATGCGAAGGTTAGACTATCGCGAAATACCATGGACGAGAATGTCATGACGCACCGGCGGTCACGGCTTCGCGAGCGACGACGGCGTTCGGGGCTGCCACGGCGACGACGATCAGGGCTGCGTCGGCGGTCAGGGCTACGGCGGCGGTCAGGGCTACGACGGCGGTCGGGGCTGCGACGACGCTCTGGGCTCCGGTGCCGTTTACGGTCCTTGGAGTGCGACCGGCGCGCGGACGACTGGTCCTTCTTTGCCGGCGAGTCGCCCGACGTGTCTGTCGGTGCTGCGTTCTTTGGGGCACTGGACGACCCGTCCTTGGGCGCCTTGGGTTCGGGCGTCGCAGTGTCCTTGGCAGACGCCGTCGAGTCCTTGCGCCGCGGCGAGACGCTGGCTTTCGTTGGCCGTTCGTTGGTTCGCGCAGGCGACGCACTGGCCTTCTTGGACCGGTCGTCGTTGCGGCGCGGCGAGGCACGCCGTGGTGACGCGCTGGCCTTCTTGGAGCGATCACGGCGGCGCGGCGATGGCGACGACTTGCGTCGGCGAGGGCTCTTGCTGGGCGACCGGCGGCGGCCATGGTCCCGAGATCGGCTCCGGTCGCGGCGGTCGCGGGAGCGTTGTCGGCCACGCGGGGGCTGGCGGTCGCGCGAGTCGGGGCGACGACTTGGCGGCTGGCGATCGCGGACTTGCGTCGCGTGCGTCTTGGCCGCGACATGCATGTCCTGGATCTTCTTTTGGATCTTCTCGCGTTGCTCCTGCTCGGCCGCGCGCTTGAGCTCCATCTCCTTCTTCTTCTTGTCGAGGAAGACTTGCGGGATGCCGGTCGGGTTTTCTTGGGCGCTCAAGAGGAGGTTCCAGAGCTCTTCCATGAAGGCGGCCGCGTCGCCTTCGAGGAAGCCCGTGAGCGCGACCTGCATCTCCTTTGGGTCCAAGGGCTCCAGCGCATTGGCTGGCTCCAAGAGGTTGATGGTCATGGCGACGACAATGTCGTCCTCAAAGCCCAGTACCTCGTGCATCTTCTCTGTGATCCATTGGTGTATTACTTCCTTGTTGACCTTTGCGAGGTGTACCTTCTGCCCAAAGGACGCCGGGAATTTCATTTTCGCCAACAGTTTCTTGTGGTGATTGAAAAACCGACTGTCCTGGTCCAAGGACGTCCCCTACAGCAGCGTCGTCATAAGCGTCCGCGTCCGCAACGCACGTTCGTACCCGGAAGAAGTTGGCCCCCGACGCCATCGCGATTGTATTTCTGAGGAGCCGACGCCAGCAACCCTTCGAAGGGAAACTAACATTGGTTGAACTTGCTACGTATAGGGCAAGTTAAAATACCATGCAATCAAATCAACGTTTTGTGGTATCCTTGTGTCGTGTTGAGCAGGTTAGTATTTTAGAAACGGCAGCATAGAAATAGTGTAATACATACATCCAATATAGTGTGAGGGGAACCACTCTGCATTCATCACGGCGCGCAGAGAGCATGATAGAGAGAGGTGCCTAGTAGTCTCAAGTACATGTATTCTTTGAAAGGAAATCTGTCGTTGCCAAGGCACCGTCTTGTGATCCCTTGTGCGCGATGTTGTCTGATGATTGTATTACACTATTTTCTCGGAATGTGTTTTAAAATATATGTCTGAGTGTTTGTATGAAATAAAATACAAAAGCGAATAATGGCATGCAATTTCGAACCATGGTGCGCCCGCCATTGCCGCGCCCGATTGCGGTCTGCGACTTTGATGCGATTCTGGCCAGCGACAAGGAGATGTACCCGACGGACACGCCTCTGACGCCCGAGGCCATGGCCCAGTGGTACATGTTCCACCCCGAGTTTGGCATGATCTACGACGGCTTGGGCTGCTGCATCGTCGTGCCCGTGACCAAGGCGACATGGACAGCCTACATTCGCAAGGAGATCGACGAGGCCGGCTTGGTCAATGGTGTTTTTGACGCTGCGACTGACGAAGACGGCGAACTCGGCCTCCATTTGTACCACATCGAGAAGACACCGGCCTGGACGCGGGACTACGCGCGCATGGCAACTGTAGTGTTGGCGGACCTCGGACGCATCTTGGAAAACTTGCGTGCGGCGCGCCCCAAACACTTGCAGCCGCTTCAGGTGGTTGGCTTCTCGGCGCTCGCAGCGTCCGAAGCAGGCTACAAGACGTCGCGCACGACGTTCAAGATGACCCAGCTCTACGAGGCCGAGGAGTTTCTATATCGCCACAAGACGACGCGCGAGCTCATCGTCGTCACGCCGTCCGATCTGCCGCTGGACGAGACCTCGTGGGTAAAGGAAGGCGAGACGCGCCTCATGGCCCTCGAAGGCGTCGCTGCCTGCCGCGACCTCTTCTCGCTCTCGTTCTGAATGCCATCTCGCATCCAGGGGCCTAGCGTAGATGTAGTAGACACGAGTACATCGTCTTCATCTCGTTGTCCGATCAACTTGGCGCGGACAGGGTTCATGAATACATTTGGCGGCGTTTGTCGACATGGTCCCAGCTTCAAGACGATTGCACTTTCTAGCGATGAACCAATCATTGGCTACTTTGCGTCCGTTGGCGCCTTGTGATTGGCCACTTGACGATTTTCGGCCAAGATGGCAAGCCCGTTCAGCCCCGAGTACACGCACTGCTACGCCGAACTAAACGGCATCCGCCTCCACTACGTCGACGTGGGCCCCCGCGGTGGGTCGACCGAATGAAACATAAATGGTGTATTGAGGAGCGACCTGTAGACGGCGTTCCGGTCGTCTTGCTCCATGGCTGGCCGGACCTTTGGTGGGGCTGGCGGGTACTACCACCATCCTTTTCGCCATGTCGGTTTGTCCTGACGGCACGACTGTGCTTTAGCACCAGATCCAGGCGCTGCGTGCCACGTACCGCGTGATTGTACCAGGTACACGTCACTGCCTCGATCCTGCCTTCTCACCCATCGTTAGACCAGCGCGGGTTTGGCGCAACGTCGTCACCGGACGCATACGAAGCCTACCGCAAGTCGATCGTGGCGCGCGACTACGCTCTCCTGCTTGGTACAATATACGGACTTATGCACGCGATTTCTCATTCAAGCTAGATCATTTGGGCTTGCCACGCGCTGTCTTTCTTGGGCACGACTGGGGCGGCGCGGTCGCGTGGGCCATGGCCCAATTCTACCCGGCCCGCGTCCTCGCCGTGGGGGCCATTTGCACGCCGTACATCCCGCAGCCTCGAACGTACGTGCCGCTCGAGATGATTGCGGCGGTCAAGCCGTCGTTCCGCTACCAGCTGCTCCTACAGGCGCCGTCGACCGCCGCGCTCTTTGACGCGAATGCGGAAAACGTCTTTTCGCTCGTGTACGGCGGTTTGCCGTTGAACGCACCGAGCAAGGACCTCCATGACGTCATGACGTCCGTCGCGACGCTGCAGTTTGCGCCCGGCGGTCTCCTTGCGTCCGACGACAAGGCGTACTACGTGGCCGAGTACGCTCGTCAAGGCTTTGACAAGAGCCTCAATTGGTACCGGACGACCGAGCTCGACTGGATTGACGCTCAAGGGCTGGAGCGCGTGATCTTGCATGACGCGCTCTTCATTTCGGCCGGGAAAGATCCGGTCTTGCGACCCGAATTTAGCACCGGAATGGAGAAATGGCTCCCCAACTTGACCCGCGGCCACGTACCAAATGGTACGCACTGGGTCCTCTGGGAGTTTCCGGACGAGGTCAACGCGATGCTTTTGTCGTGGCTGGCGTCCCTTGGTGGCTGCGCCAAATTATAGACAATATCTGTCCACATCCATCGGGCATGTAAGCCGTGGTTGGTTCCGGCCAAGTCGAACAAAAAATTTCAGTCAAATTGTAGTTTTCGTGTTGTTGCGCGCATTAATGTGACCGTTATCTTTGCTAAGATTTTGTCGACATAGAGACTTGCCATCTCCTTTCTTTGTTCATTCGTTCGCAGGCGGTAGCGCGTCT